CCAAATCTTTGAGATAATAACGTGGCCGCACTGTGTGGTAAGTTATTCTGCACTATACCAACACTAGAAGTAGGATGTCCCGTTGGGGAATACGAAAGTAGGCGGACTTAGCAAATTCCAAACTAGTGTTACGAAATAAACCCATACGCCGCCCCGGTACGACACCTATAGGCCGTCGAGACCTTTCTAGTCTCTAGTGTATACGGAAATGACTCACGTCGATGACAGCGGCCGGCGCTCGCTAGGCAAAGGCCTGGAAGCGGAAGTTGCGATGAATTCCAGAAAAATCTTGATCACTGTAATAGTTAGTTGTGTAAATTTGAGCTATTGAGAAATAAATTGTTGAGTTTTACCCACGCCGATTTTATTCGCCCGTACAACGTAACAATAGGGTTGACATATGTTCTGTACAATTTCAAAAGCACCATGGGAATAGTTGTGCAAAAACCGAGTTTATATTTCCAGATGTTGGCAACAGTCAGATTTAGTCAGTTCAGTGCCATTAATATCAAACGAAACCTTTGGTTTCTTGCTAAGAATATCGACGTTAAGTGGGAGGAGCTAATCACTAGATCATTTTCGACTACAAGAAAATCCTCTTTCAGAAACACAGCATCAGAACTTGTGTTGTACAGCTTGATATCAAAGTACGATTTGATTACGTTCCTTAGATCAGTTGTATACGTTAACCAAGGCAAAGGATCCAAGACGGAATCCTGTGGGTAATTTATCTAGCAGACGACGATTAAGAACGCGTTTGAAAGCCCTAGAGAAATCCAAAAATCAACTTCTGTGGTCCATAACATAAATACATAAAAGTTTCGATTGAATGGATTTGGCAAGTAGAAGCCATGTTATTGTGTTGGTATCAAAGAATGATCTAGCAGGAATATGATCAACGGATCATAAATGACTGATTCCATGTTTACACCAGTGTGGTAACACGGAAGCTGGGAAAAAAATTATTGACTCAGTAACATGATAAGAGGTACGTTAAGGACATTCGCATAACACCAAGAAGCCTAGTGGTAAAAAGATCAAAACTAGGGGAATTTGACACTTTTTCAGTTATCCGTATACCACGTATGTAAATATTTGGAATAATCACCCTTGCTAAGACCAAAGGGATTAGGAGAATCAACTACGTTGGGTATTACATCTATGCAAGGATTCTTTTAAGTGGTTTACTTATACTTATTTTGGCAACTTCGCCGTTACTATTTTATAGGGCCCAAATTTTCCATAATTTGCATAGCCACAAGTCTGACAGTTTGGTGTGTGTATGCTTATACAATCTCTTGATATCTGTAGTATCTACGATTAAGGAATTATATGCAAGTTTTGCCTCCTTCATAACGATCGAAACATGAGAAAGCTCTGTTAGCTTTACTAGCTTCGGACTCAGACCTTTTGTAAGTAATTACCAGAGTGCTCGCTTCCTTCTCTCTTACATAGAATTCTACCAATTAAGCAAGGTTTTTTGGAAGACCTCTTAACGACAATGGTAGCAGTATTTTATTCGACAATGTCGTCTAAAATGGTTCTGAAGAAATGTCAGTTTTCGGAAATTGAACTACAAAATAGTAAAGACTTCCAGTTTGTTCCTGCTAAACACTGTCTTATTCCTTTAAAATTAATCTTAGCTGTTTTCTTAAGCGAAATACTTCGCTTTTACGGTCTAAAACAAATTTGCAGATTAAGCTTAAAGTGATATGATCCGAAAGACTTGTCGGATTAAGACAATCCAAATTGAAGAGAGAACTTTCATTAAATAAAATGTTTAAATCAAGGACGGATGGACTCTGCTTGGATCTAAGTATATATCGTCGGTTGTGAAACGTCTTGGTGTAAACGACTGTTTATGGGTAAATGAACCAATCGTTTAAAGGACGCGTTATGAGTCTGAAAAAGATCCAAAGGCCCGGATGATAAACTCTCAGAAAATAAAACAACTTTATCATGTCCAAAAACTTGCGGGATGTCTTTAGACACAGACTAAGATAAAAGTAACTTTCTTAGTAGAAATTTTGTAAAACGAAGCCTCAATGCTTGTCTCATGAAACACAAAAAATAAGTTACGATACAACGCAGTCATGCAGTCATTAGCCTCCTACACACAATTTAAAGAAATTTATCACCTGTGGGCATAAGTAATAACGTCGATAACAAAAATTCGACAAAAATTGTTATTGGTCAACAAACTAAAATCAAAATATCTCCCCAGAGCCAGAGGGGCACCATCCCGAGTTTTTAAACAATGCATTGGAAGAGCAGCTAGGTGTGGAAGTGCCTCTAAGTGAACGAGTTCGCATGTGATACTCGCATGTTGGAGCACCACCACATTTTGCTAGGCCAGTAACTGAATGCTCAAATAGCCATTTTTTAACCAGTGGGTTGGTGGACACGGTCCAGTAGCTTGGCCTCCGCGTTTACCCGATCTCAATTCGTATGATTTTTGTCTGAGGTTGGATGAAACAGTTAATTCATGGAAATCAACAGTGTCCAGAAACTATCGAAGACAATGAGTGGAAGTGGCAACCGCTATAGTTCGTAGAATTCCGAAGTTTTTTTACGTATCCGTGGAAACAAGTTGCAACGTGCTGAAGCCTGCATTGTCAGTCAAGGACAACATTTTCAACATTTATTGTAAAAAAGTAGTACCATTCTAAGTTGCTCTTATACACGTATTTGTTCTAATAAACAATGTGGACTCACCATGAAACATTACCAAAAATTGGTCCTTCTCAGGACCACCATTTGTTTCTACCACTAATAATCTTTAGCATTAACCTTTAACATGAATGAACGAATGATAATCAGCAAAAAGTAAGTTTTTAATTGAAGTGTTTACATCGTTTTTATTCGAACGTTTTTCCACGTACTGTTTAAAAGGTGGATCAGTGGCATCGCATCGAGGGTGGTACATAGGGGTTTTGCCCCAATCGACATTTAATTTCTTTTTTCTATATTTGCATATTACTACTATACGTGATGCTGTGGTTACAATTATTGCATATGTAGATGGTAAAATACTAACTAAAATTTGTCTAACCATCACCAACAACAATTTGACGACGTCACCTTAAAATTTTTCATAATAAATACTATTTAAATTTTATAAAGTAGATAACATACTCATGTAGGTATTTGTGGTTTATGAATCCACCTTGAGCTTTTCCCCTAGACATTCAGACTTGCCAAAAAATCCACATTGTATAACAACATTTTATATCGCGTGCAAAGGTCGCGAGTTCGATCATCTTATGCGCCATTTCTTTTTCTTAGATTGTGATTAATATTGTCTTTTATATTGAATGATATTTTTTTAACTTATCAAAAAATCAAATTTAAATTTTGTGACTTTTCGAAGAAGCTGGATTTGTTGGACTGTATTTCAGGAGCGAAGGAAGTTCTGTGTAAATAAATAATCTTAGACAAATTTTTCTATTTCGTTTTTAGGGTCACTTTAACGTTTTCATGCACATTTTCAGAAAAAACAACTTATAGTTAGAACCGTTTTTTAATTATTTTTTTTAAAGAATCTGTTAAATTTTTTGACATATAAAAATGGGCCAGTTTTCATGATTTAAAGCATTTTAAAAAAATCCACCAAAAAAACATAAAAACAAGATCATTTTACTTAAAATTTGATGGTTTTTAAAAATATAAGCTGTTATGAACAGGTTGGTTTTCACGATTAAACGTTATGTTTTTGGGAACTTTTCCTGAAAATTTGCATCAAAACGAAGTAAAAAATCTTATTTAGAGTATAATGTACACGAAGCTACTTGTAAGGTATTTATCAGAACTTATTTTACGTATATATTGACATTATACGAATATGTAATAAATTAGTATTCACTCTACACTTTCCAAACAGACTACGAGAAAAAATTATTTATGCCATGTCGACTGATTGTGTTTTTGCTCACTACTACCTGTTTCGCACAAGTCTGTAATATTAAGAAATTGTTACGTTCATATTAAAACCTAAGAAATTTAAACCAAATCTTATGAATTGTGATGGCTGCTGCAGTCGAATGATACAACAAGTTTAAATACTGCTAGAATACAAAGTTTTTATTTTATCATTTAAAATTGTTATACAAATTTAAATAGTTTTCAAACAGTATTGACGTAACAATATTTTTAGGAAAGTTGGAAAATTGGTGGATGCGCCAGTACTAAGAAACGTGCAATATAAGTGTCTCCTACAATCAGTTAATTTTTAGATAACAACAACCAAATGGAATAATTATCATTTCTAACGAATCTTCGTAAGAAAAAAAATAGATTTAATATACTCTTGACGCAAAACGCATTATAAAAAGACAATGTGAAAAAATATTTATTTAGTGCTTTTTATAAGCTTTTAACAAAGATTGTTAGAAAGTGTCAATAAAAAAGAAATTTCGCATGTATGTTTATCTAAATTAAACAAATACATCTACTGATAACAATTTTCTTAAATCATTAGTTGTTAAGTAGCAAGTGTCGGCTTTGAAAAATATAAAAATAATGATAAACCGATAAAATAATAATCACAATTATACATAGTCATACTTAGCAATATACTTTGCAATGCTAAAACAACCAAAAATCCTTCCTGCGATGTATCTAAACTGGAAGCAATTAATCATCAACTCTTAAAAAAACAATCAGTATGCACTTCAAAGTCTTCCTGCACTGGAAAACCCATACAACTTTTAATTCCAATCTCGCAACCACCTTGTCTATTCTTAGAAATGCTTATTGTGCTCCGAGCCAAACCATTGTGGCGTAAAATGAAAAATTCTCTAACCGTAAGCATAATAATTTAAGAGTCAAGATCCTCGCACCCTACACCCAATCACCGATAAGACTCGCAATCATCATTATCACTATCAAAGATTTTCGGAGAGATTAACGCATTCGGACTCTCCCCAGGGGGAAATAACAACGTCCGGTCCCTTCGGACACAAGGGCACCCCAGAAGAGTTAATGACGGCTTTAATTTTTACCTTTTTCGTCGTCGTCGTCGTCGTCCTCGAACACCTTGCATTCGACGTTCAGGGGACTGGTGGACCTTCCAGTTACGCTGTGACGAAGATGGGCGATGTGTTTGGCAAGAATCGTGCCTGTTCTCGCACAACCTGCTTTGGCTTCAAAATCACTTCTTGTTAATTCGCATAGTTCTGTTCCGGTCGTGGGGAACTTCTCGAAATCGGGTTTTGGATTGAGCGAGAATTTCCGAGAACACCATGACAGCCAAGATTTAATGTGGGTGTTGGTCCATTCTAGAGGATCTGAAACAAGCAAGAGATTATTAAATTATTGGAAGGGTTCATTAAGTAATAACGAGCCGATACAAATTTAAAATTAGAAAGCGACGCATGGCCTTAGTGTTCCGTAGACCTTTTTACATTTAGACACGTATCAGTAGCAATAATAACTATATTGAGATATTCTCTATTTTAAATTTAAGGCTTGCAAAAATATCACCCGTTACGTTATCAAAGTAAGTATACCACAATTTAATGATGATATTTTAATCAATCATGGTTGTGCGATTGGCAGGGAAATTTTACCACCTACAGAGGTCTTAGTGAGAGTTCAATTCAAATTTAGGTGCATTTGCAACAAACACTAGTTTTTAATGTTACAAAACATTTTTACAAATATTGTCAAGAAAATTTAAGGCATTTATTAACCGAATCCAATAAATAACCTTATTTGACGTTAAAAAGTGAAAGAATGTTGTTTTGTAAATATAGTTATTATTTTAAAAACACGACGTTCTGCAATTTGGATAATACGAAAAAGCAGGTTGTCATTTCTTCTTTGTTTCCGGTCACATTACAACTTGAGTATTTTTAATATTATTGTAAAGATGATGCACCATTAACCAAGATCTTATCTTATAGAAGAAATGGATAACGACACACAGTTTTTTCGGACTGAGCTTAATTGCAACATGGCACCTCTAATTCACCCCTAATTACCTATCTGCCTTAAAACTCTAAAAATGTTGAAATAAATGTTTATTAAGAAGTTTTGAGATTCGGTCGTGCTCGTACTTTAGTAAATATGTTTTTAGTTTCAGAGTTGCGTATACAGGGTGTTTAAAAAAACTGTCAAAATTAATAAGAAGAATAATCACTAAAAATTTAATGAAGCCATTTCATTTCAGAGCAGTATTATATATATTGTACAATAAGTTAAATGAATTAACGAAAAGCCACGAGTTTCAAGATTTCAGATAAAATAAAAAATAGTACAAAAATGCAGTATTACAAAATTCATAATTTTTGAGTTACATATATATCATATAATTTGACGTGAAATGAAATTCTTTTTTTTTACAACCCAAAGTAGTATATAGCGTGTTTCATTTCAACTGGATAGCCACCTATTATTTGAAGAGTAGACTTGATGAAGAGGCATTTCCGGTTCCATGGAATGGAAACATCTTTTCTGTTTCTGACTTATAACATATGATCAAAAAAAGTCCTCTAGTGGGCTATGAAATTTATTTTTATAGTAATGATGTTGGCAAAGCAGCTATTTGACACTTTATTTGACAGTTATTAGCCGTAACTGTTAAACTAAACAAGGAAGGCGTTGGTGTTGCCAACATTATTACTTTAAAAGTAAATTTCGTAGCCTACTATAGGACTCTTTTTAAATCATCTCATCAGGTGATTATTAAAATTTCTACTTTAGTTACCAATTTACCAAGCATTTTCAATTTCACTGCTGACGTAAGTGTCATGGGTAACTAGAGCAGAAATTTAAAAAAATCACTGGACACTATGTAATATAAAAATATTGTTTACTCAATATAACTACTACGAACTTTACAGTAATCTAGACAACAAATTTTCGAGTCAGTCAAACTGAAACAATTGTCTAACCAATAGCTGAGACAATAGTAATAATTGAAATCTTGTTGAAATTATTATTTTTTATTATTTTCGTTCAACATTGCTGCGTTTATACTTATTTTGGTGAAACGAAAATTTCAAATTATTGATTTAAAAATTTGATTTTTACAAGGCTAGTGATTTTGAAGTAAATGACAAAGCTGTTAGAATAAAACAGTCCATATATAATTTTTCCAAAATAAGTATACACCATGTAAATATGTATACTGGAAATTCAAACTGACAACTTCTGTTTTGCCAATTTTTGTTTACAGAATGATTAAGATGTTTGTTCTTCCAAATAGACTGTGTATTTGATGCTTCGTTGTGATAATGAACTTGATTACTCACTTGTCCAAATATCATGTGTAATATGTGTTTACACTGGTACAATATACCAAGTTCCTCATTTGAAAAGTGTAACAAAATTGATATTTTCTCAATGCAACCAACTACAGAGAAAACAACAAAAAGCACGGTCAAAGAAGGCCATAGATTTTTGAAGATTCGCATTTGATTCTTGCAGTCAAATTTTCCAATTGACAGTAATCTGACAAGACGAAAATTTTATCACAGACACAAATCTTCAAAAATCCATGGTTGTCTTTGATCGTGGTAAACTAGAAAGTATATTGTATATTGTTAATACAATGGATAACATGCGTCTTTCAATAAATATTCAGTGGATATTTTAGTAAAGAACTCATTCTTAGATAATTAAATAATTTCCTTACTTGACAGTAGATAAATTTAAAATTTTGAAAAATTGCATGATATGAGATTCCGATTTACAAAATTTATAAATCTAGCGAATTTTGATGTACACAAGTTTGTTTCTTGAACAATAGCTAAGGGGAGTATATTTGTTGATACTTTACAGGTAGAAGAATACGAAAATATACATTTCCCCATTTGTTAAAATTTTGCAGCTTATGTCAAAGATGATGTAATACACTAATTGAAATTTTGATTTTATTGAATTAGAGGTTAGAAGATATGAATTAGACTTTATGTTTTCGTCTTCTTCACAGAGTTGATGGCGTCATCTAAAAAATTATTGAATCTTTTTTATTACGTCTTAACGTGAGGATGTGCGTCAGTAATAAGCTTTTATTTATGGAATTAGCTGCACCAGATGTCTAAAAACTTAAATATAAGAACCGATTTATGTTATCGACTATCTTAAGAACGCCTTATCCAATTTATCAAAAATCGTAGTAACACAGTGACTTTAGTTTTACAGTGCACTTACTGAAATTAAGATAATTGTTCTCCTCACAAGTATGTAATGATATTAGCGAAAATATATAAAACAGATTTTCAATGAAAATATCTTCTGATACCCATGAGGTATTCTCGGATAACAGGTTTGTAATAAGCTCATTTCAACACCTTCTTTGTTGCGTATGGAAATTTATTGAAGAGATCAAGTCTTCAAAAATCCTGAACGGGTTTTCTTCAAATTTTACACATTCTTTAGAATTATTGTCTAGATGATAACACGCTAACCAAAATTGATCTGTTCATCCCTTCCAAAAAACTATTGACGTCAAATTCTGTATTTGCTGGCATTTGAAGTTAAGAAAATACTGTTTAATTCTTTGTACTAATACTTTGATAAATTTTTACGTAGAAGAATTACAAATATCATAGTGTAGGGGAGTGGAGGGGGCAACAGGTATATTTAATTTTTAATGTACAATGAAGCACAAGTTTTCAAATAGAATCTGAAGATGAATAAAAATAGACGGCTACTAGATTAACTTCGAAACATAATATGTATGTCGAAATCGTGTTGAATAAATCTGGTACTACTTGTTTTGTGTAAACCAGTTAAACTAAGATTAAACTGCCAAAAAAAAAATATGGTCACTGCAATCCTTAGTTCCTTGTATGCAATGCAGTGTTTCCCAACATTTAATCTTTAGTGGGTTTAGTCATGTTTGCCATAAATAACAAAAGTTTTTAATGAATACCAGGAAAATGCGTTTTTTGCTCTTGTGCAACAGCATGGCCGCCTGGTCGAATACCGCATATGGGTTTGAAGAGGGACTTGAATGGCAAGTCTCACGCATGTATTGACCTACCATTGGTATGTGGTACGAATTACGAAATACTGCAGATATCCCGTCGCACCCCACCTTCCCCTATTACGTAACTGCTAATCGACATATCTGGAGGTTTTATTTTATTTTGTTTTTTTACATCGAATAATATTAACTGTTGATTGTTATTCTGTTAAACTGAAAAAATATAAACCACGCCCCAAACAAAATAAAAAAAATCTGAAACCCTGAGTATGTTTATAAGCATGTCACATACATTTTACTTAGGATATTTAATAAAGTTACAGTTGGATTGTTTTCTCTTTTAACTTTAAAAAAGTACGAACAATTTTTCAAAAAAAAGATAAACTATTTTTTTTATAAATATAAAGTTATTTTATATTATCCTTCCTGTTCACAACTTTAGGAGGTTTCCAAATAACAATAGGAAAATAAAATGCACCATAATAATACTTATAATAAAATAAATCAGAAAATGGAACGAAACAAAAGTAAAAATGAAACTAAAATATAGTAACAGGAAACAGAATACATTTAACACATACTTTCTTATCTTTGTTAAAAAAATATTTGCTTGAAACATAACAATGAAAAAACAAAAAAAAACAAGAAAATAACAAACGAGATAAAATAGTATAAATAATACAGTAATAAGAATAAAAATAATGTCGACATAGTTTCTAGACAAATAAATAAGGAAGGAAAAAAAATACCTATAGTAAAAATGGGAAAATAAATAAAATGAACGTAGATATTCACGTTTAGATTTTTGACATAATGTAAAAAAAGATAACTTATAGAAAATAAAGGACTTAAAATCGATAAAAGAATAGAAATTTTATAATGAGAATTAACACTAATCTTTTCTGACGATATACAGTTGGCTCAAAACCTATAAGAAGGAAAATTAAAAAAAAAGTGCTACATCTTTATTTCTGCAAACAATAACAATAATACCTATTTTTGCAAGTGCGTAAAACTGACTTAGGACTGAGTAAAACTCGACATGTCATAATCAAAACAGCATTTAGTAAAAAAAAAATAATTGTTAACAAAAAAGTTTTACAAGTACAACAAAAGTCAAACTATTTAGTTTCAGGTCGGTCATTAATGCAAATAATTAAATAAAAAAATAAGAAAAAGGAAATAAGAAAACCATCAGGTATTTAACTTGAATTGAACAGCGTTGCAAAGTGATTGCTTTAATATTATGGCAAATTAAAGACTATTAGAACTGCTATTACCATAAAATTAATCAGTGGAAGTTAAAAAAACAGCAGTGGTAATCTGTACAGGTTTGTTTATATCCAACCTAAAAAAGACTTCTCTTTGCTCCATACACATTAAATACATTTTTAGTTCCTTAAATTTCAAATTGCGTGCATGTCTGACTTAAGTAATCGTCGTACTTTTTTAACACTTTACGCAGTTTAATTGCCTTGTTAAGCAAAACTAGTTTTGTTATACCGCCCTGTAAACCGTGATATTTTGTTGAGTCGATTAAACAAACAGGTGTATAAATTTTCCTACATTTTTTTTTTTAATCTAAACTTATTAAAATTTTATTCCTTGTAGTAATATAGAAATATGTTTTTGGTTAATGCTGTCCCTGATTTATGTATTTTCTCTTTTTAACCTATAATGCATATTGATACTTGTAATGTTCATATTTAAAAACCTTTTTTTTATATTTAAGGGAATTTTTACCCCACTGTGTATATTAATTACATAAAACTTTTACAAAAGTAAAAACGTCAACAATCAAATCATAGACAAAAATTATCGCTCCTATGTTTTTTGTTAATTTACAATAAAATTTCACGGATTTTATGACAGCATTTTTTTTTATTTAAATGTCATGTAAAAAGGGATGTTTGTACAGGTGTAATGAAGGTTCACTTGTTGCAGGAAATATTTTATTAACATCTCAATCAATAACGGCATTTGTTTTAAAACTTTTAAAAGAGACTTACCAGAAGGAACTAAAACCATTGCATTATCAACATCACTATCACTGTCGGTATCTCTGCCAGCTGCAGCTTCATTATTTTGGTTTGAATTAATACTGTCGGTTGATTTGCTCCTTACGCTATCTTCGACTCCCGTCGGATTGAATCCAGCGCTAACGAAAGCCTCATCTTTTGAGGTAGATTGTGAATGAAACGACGATTCAAAATACGAGGGTAATTTGGATATGGGCAGTAATTCGGTAAATTCGTAGCTATCGCTATCCTGAGAAACTTGACTAGAAGGCGGTGATTGTATGTGGAGGTTTTTCTCTGCTTCCGAAAGTATGAAATCCATCGTCTCCGTCGAAAGCATGTCGTTGGACAAAACGGGCAAATCTTCTTCGGACAGTCCGTCATTTTGGGATTGGGAACTTTCATCACTGAGAAATCGCTGCAGGTGGTCTCTGTAACTTTGTACTTCACTGAGTTCACTGCTCTCACTGTACGTTTTGTCCATAATTCCATTATTGCAAACTTTTGCACCACTTAGCACTGGCTCTGCACGCGAACTGCACGTTGGAGGTAGTACCTTCGGTATTTTATTTATTGACTCATCTTTTGCTCGATAAACGGTTCTCTTTTCGGGCTGACTCACTGGAAGCTGGGATTTGTTCTTGCACCGTGATTCACCCAATTTCACATCCGACTTTTTTTCCGTTCGCGTATTCAATAAATGTTTCAGCAGTTCCGAGGTCTTGAGTTTCTGAAACAGTGAGTCCTCGCTGGGATTTCTGGCATCCACTTTCGATGTGAAACCATTTGGGGCAGCGCTTCTACTGGCCGTTGATTCACCACTTTCAGAGATCATTGCTAACTGATTCACGCATCAAATTCCGGGAAAACTTTAATTTTATATGAGCAACGCACCGACTTTCAATGCAGTTTAGTTCTTGGCGGTTAGCATTCGGTAAAACCCAGCGAAGCGGCGTTCTACATCCTCTAATTTTTTTCAACCTCCTTAATTATCTTCCGCTCCTAGAATACGACTTTCCGCGGAGATAGTGAATCATATAATATGTTAATTTACGATCGTTCACATTGACATTACATTATTTGCACATAAGCGGTGCACGTTGTGCTTCGGATGCTGCTATAGTACTGAAATAAAGCACCTTCTTAAACCAGTTGTTATGAATGAAGTTGAGGCAGCGATCAATTGGCTAAACTTGAGTACCCAAAAAAAGACGGCACTCCTCTTCAACATAAAAAAAATGTTTACCCAATTTTCATTGGATCGATTTTGCAAAAGGCGTATATTTACAGGGGGGTTTATTACTATAAATTATTATGTTGCTCTTTTTCACGCAGCTTTTAATGATGAGTATAAAAACAGGATGTGTAGGTTGTTTGTTATTGTTGTTTAACCTTGCCGAATCTGGTATTGTCCTTAAATCACGCCAAAAAGAACCGAAACATTCTGGCGTTAGAGATCAAAGCTGTAGGGGATAGCTCGGGCCGTAAATTAGTGACTTATAAAGAGATTAAAACTACTTTATATATAAAAGCGTTCTATTTTTTTTTTTTTTTGACTTTGATAACCGAAATTTTTAATTTGTATAATAGCAAAATTCGTGGATTCTTGGAAGCGTTAACAGGAAACCAGAAATGTGACTAGGTTCAAGTTTATTCTTTGTTTATAAAAAAATTAATTAGTGTGAGGTTCTTAACAAATTATGTCACTACGTTTTCTAATAATAAACAATTAGTAATGACCTTAGGAGAACACAAACGACTGAATTTCTTTTTTTGTTATCAAGAGAAATGAATATTATTACTAAATAGCTAAAATAGTGCTTTATCTTAAAACACATTATTGATAATGTGCTAAAAATAATTATTCACGCCTACTTAAATCAGAACATGCATAGACAACCGAAAAAAGTCAGTATAAGATTAGGTATTATATAATGACAGTAAACAGTAATTTATTAGCAAAACGGATGTGTGCAGAATGCGTATAATGTGTTACCGGCAAAGTAGGAAACCTGATGCGGTGTACTTTTCCTAGCTAATGTAGAGAGCGCCAAATATATCGTACTAAACAATGAAGTAAAAAACGTTGCTACAAACATTTTAAAACTTGCAAAAAAGCTTAAGCTCATTTATTTTTCTATAAAAACAATCCAGTTTTGAAAATATTAAGCATTATTTTAGGGTGTGTGAATTTCTTACTACTGTACGAAATGCGAACCCAGATATGTGTTAGTAGAGTACTGCTTCATAATAAAGCCGTGCCTTCCACTACATCACCTATCAAAAATTAAAACATTGCAAACACGTTTTATTGGTGTTTATGGTTCCGTTTATTGAAAACTACCATGAACTACAGCATGCTGTCTGCATATTTACACAAAGACACAGTGAACTGTATTCATTTTCTCACCTCTTAGTGGGGCCAATTAAAAAATCAAGCCAATTTGTCAGCCCCTTATATAAAAATCTCCAAAAACTATTAGACATTAGGTTCACTACTGATCTATGGCGAATTTAGAGCGAATTTTTATTATAATTTTTTTTTTAAACACTTTTGGATATAATTCCTCTAACGAAGAACAGTATAAAAAAAAACTGGTGACATTTTAATTGTTCAGAAGTTTGTTTAAATTATTGACTATTCTATTCCAAATGTGTCACTTGCTCCCTATGTTTGGCTCATGGGATTTTCAATACATTTTCAGAATGCAATGTATCTCCGTTATTAGCAGACTTATTGTTATGAAATTTTAAATATATATATAAAATTAAATTTCATTGATTAATGTAAAAATATTTTAATTAATATCTTAATTACTTATGTAAATTTCGGAACGCGGTTTTCACTATTGTTTTCAGCTTACAAAGCTTTATAAATTGCTTGGGAAACACTGTCGACTTTTTTTTTATGAAATGAGCTACAGTAAAAGAAGGAAGATTGTGTCGAAAAAGCTATTTTTACAGTATCTCCCTTCCAAGGAAAAAAATCGACAATGTCTTCCAGAGAACTTACAGAGTTCTCTAAGCTGAAAACAGTGATGAAAACCGCGTTCCGAGATTTCCATAAACAACTGAGATATTGATTTTTAAAAATGTGTCATGAAAACCTTCAATTAAATGCTAAAAAGAAGATAATAATAAACTAATTTAAAAAATGCTACTCTTGTGTTATATAAAGAAAGTTGTGGATAGGTTATATTTAAAATTTCGTAACAATAAGTCTGGATACTACATTTTGAAAATGTATTGGCAATTCCGTTCGTCAAATGTCTTAACTAAAATTTATTCACTAAGATTGTGAATTGTCAGTGTCATTTTTTTACAAGTTTCTTGACTGTACTAGCTTTTAGATAATTTTGGTCGTACTATACCCAAAATGTAGTTTTTCTGGTAAAAGTACTTTTGAGATTAGATTTATTGTATTCGTCATTTAAATTTAGTTCACATTTTTACATTTCTACCAAACACAGAAGTTAAATGAAATGTTCCTACATGCCAAGGCTGTCAACAACTGTCATTACACTGGCGCCACTATATACAGGGTGTTTCTTTTATTTGATACAACTCCTGTAACTTTTCTATTCTTAAAGATAAACCTGTAGTTCGTTGAGTAAATTTGTATCATTTTAAAAGATCTATGTGATGGTAACCTCGCATTTTTATTATCACTTCCGGTAGAACCGGAAATGACGTTAACTTTATTTTTTATGGAATACTAGGTATATTTTTTCATAAATGGAAAGACTGATTTTTTTTTTAAACTCAAAAGCAACCAATATTCTAAAATCAACACTTAAAAAGTTATTCAATAAAATAGAGAAAAAATTCATATCTATTGATGACAAGTAGCTTGAAAAATTGACACTCATGTCATTTATTCACATAAGAAACTTTTTAAAATAATACAAATTTGCTCAAAGAACTATATGTTAATCCTTAAAAATAAAACAAATACAGGGGTTGTATCAAATAAAAGAAACACGTGGTAAAAAAATTTTAATCTATATCAATTTTTCTCTAGTGGGGGCTGACACTTTGACTGTTCACAACCGCAATGAACAAACTTTAAAATGATAACTCTATATAAATAACTCTTGTATCAAAGGGTTTTTTATTATCTCCTTCAATAAGATAGAAGTGTAAAAAAATGTTAATATCTATGCAAGAAATGTTTTCAGGGTTTTTGTTTTAATGACGTCACCACGTTAGCATGATTTAAATTAAATATTTGATTATATTTTGTCTCAACAGAGCTAGAAATTTGTAAAGATGTACTGGGTGCAAATTTTGAGTTATCAATTATTACCAATATCAGTAAATTAATCCACACAAATGATAAAATAACGATTACAGTGATATATCAAGGTGTGATATTTTGATATCTCAGTAACTAGAATATGTGGTCATTTATGCAAATGTCGTTATTTGACCGTTATTTGAAATTTAAATTTCAATATCACCAGCCGTAGTAGTTACAACTGATTTTTTTTAATTCGTCACGATTGTTTGTTTACAAAGAGGTTTATTTTTTATGTGTCCAATCCATGGTTTCCAAAATTCATTAAATTTTTGACTGATTTACCAAATCACGAAATATTAATAGGTAGTCACCACTACGGTAAAACCCATTTTCAATTAAGATGAAATTATGTAGTTGTATTTTTTTAATCAACAGTCTGTTTGTTTACATAGTTAATGCTTAATTAATTATTATTAACTTACACTTAAATTAAATGCTGCTGCAACCTACAGGTAAATCCTCAAAAATTTTAAATTTGTATTCAACTTACAGCGAAATAAAAAACAGTGTCCGTTTTTTAAAAGCAAAATTTTATAAAGTTCATCAATTTGTAATTCTACAGCAAATTTCTAATTTCGAAATAGGTATATTAAATCAAAGGTCAACCAAAAGTTGGTTTATATATTTTTGACACTTACAGTGTTTCTTTAGGAGAATGTAGACAGTATTCTGCCTTGGAATGCTCTAACAAAAGATGACACACTTATTTATAGCAGTAATAGTAGTTGAGTCAGATGTTTGAGAACAAAACTCCATAGGTCATTACTCATTAATTTTGTGAATTTTAGTTTATCACAAAAATAATAAACTAAAGCACTTTCCATGTATTTTTTATTTACGATTTCATTGCAGAAAATCCCATTATGGAGTTTCACAAATAACCATGCAGTTTTCTGGCTAATACTGACTGGCGGGTTTTTTTCGGGATCTAATTCGGTTTAAAATCTGGCCCTAGCACGCTTCAGAGAGGCAAGCAGTTCTCGTCCACAACCATCGTTTCAGTACACACACAGATCAGACGAAGGGAAGAAACTATTATAAAAATATATTAAAATAATTCTAATAAGACAAAGGTCTACATTTAATACATATTACATTTTTTTTATAGAGTTTTATCATTATCATAATAAATTTACTTCGTTCAAGATTCATACATCCCATGAAAATATGCTTCCCCACAAAATTAACTCACCATTCGTATTTTACCAAACTTTTTTTAATGCGCAAACATAATAACTGTTTGTTTTTTGCTTTCATAAATTTTGTTTCTGCCTAAGCCTTTTGAAATGTGAAATAATACAAAAATTCCAGTTTACAAAATGATGCATTAATTTTGTGGGGAAGTGTATTAGTGACGCCTGTGTGAACAACATAATTACAAAAATTTCCAAGTTCGTAATCTTTCCTGGTTAACTTATTTTTATACTTTTATATCACGAATAATAATTAGTAAATGTGCGTCGTATCCACGTCTTCAACCACAAGACGTCATTTGTTTTGTCATGGGGAATGCATTGTCACTTAGGTAACTGTTTTTGAATTTATTTAAA